GTGCTAGAAGACTAACTATTTTTGGGCTGGGAGTGGTGTCTAGGTTAAATGTTAGGTAGGTGAAGATTTCGATTTATTATTTAAATATTGCAGGAGTATTTGTAAATCGGCCCGCGCGTCCTCGACTCGACTTGTTCATTGTTAATACAGTCAGGATGAGATCAAAGTTGCAGCTAGCTCTGGATAAGCTTGATCCTTTGAAATAAAAAGCACAGTAAGATTTCCTTACAAAATTCATCACGAATGATTCAACTATCGCTGCTTGCCTTCTTAATGAAAACGGTATTTCCCATAAAACACTTGATTGAAAATTAGTGATCTCAATCCTTTACAGCTAGCTCTAGCTTGCATAATTTTATTTTAAAGTTCATGTTGTCTTTTTTTTCGTAGCAAATTTTCTTCAATATTTCCCTTTACTTAATATCCTATTTAACAGCCGAATAAACTCGTAATAGAGTCTACTGATAATGAGTTAGTCTATAGCCTAACGTCAAAGGAGGCATCATCCTTTGGATCTACTGAAATCACTTCTCTTACTGACGTTGGTCTCGGGAACTCTTGTATTCTTAACGGAGAGATGTCCCATATCAATCCTACTCTGTTGCCAGAAATTGTATCCGCGCCTAACTCAGCCACTACTGCCGCTCTGGAAACTGCTTCGACCTGCTTCACATCTTTGGTATCCTTGACACCTAATGAAGGAGCACATCATTGTCCCAGTCCACTATTTCCACTTCAATCAGCTCTGCGTCCGATCAACCAATTCCGTGGCTACAACCGCTTAGATCATCACCTGTTGCCAGATTCATTCTCTCCTGTCCTGTCCGAGTTGACTCCAATGAGCACCACTTCCCTTATAAAGCCAGCTTTGCCAACACAATTTGTGCCTGACGCAGATAATAAAAATAACCTTAAGGTTTCAGATTTTCGTTCTAATTTCATTCAATAAAATAACTTTGATTTTTATTTTTTTACTATGTGGTTCCAATTTTGTATATTTGTCTTCCACCACCTCCTCCAC